ATAACGGGTCAAATTAAAGGTTTTTAAGCAATAAAAATACAAGTATATATTCCACTCGTGGGATCCATGAGCGTCCCTGTAATTTCATATACTCCTAAGTAGATCAATTGTAATATTTATAAGAATCAAATATAATCACTCAATATAGTCCTACATACAGGAGCTAATTCACATAAATTAAGAATTAAAGTTAAGTTTTCTGTGTATAACAAACAATGCATCAACAATTTACAATAGTTTTTTCCCCTCAAATACCCCAGCCATTTAATTTAATTCCCTCTGTTTAATAATGTTCTTTCTGGCTAGAAAAATAATGGCCTCTTTGCCCAAAAAAATAATGGCTTTAAATAGAGGTATTTTGAAAAAAAAAATGCCATTGACAAAATTACATGCCTGGTAATGTATAATTGGTCACACGTAAATACAGACATGCAAGCATGATTTATTAACACTACGCGAATTCTGTATTTGAATCTTATTTAATTTACATTCATTACAGATGGCAATAATATAATAAAACATTGTCCCTTGCGAAAATTGAATGACGATGTATATTGAACTAGTCATGGTGATATGAGTATATATAATACTAATATATAAACCTTCACCCCTTTCAATGTATCTCTCAACGTTATTTTGCCTTCAATGCACGCTTGCTCATCTAAGTAACAATATATTAAACATGTATCATTAAACAATCCAAGTGACTTGTCAGGGTTTTCCTTAATAATAACTTTAAGTTGTATTTTTACTATTAGGGAGGCCTGACAATGCTGCAGTAGCCGAACTCAAAAATTAACTAATTACTTACACACAGTATCAAAGCTTAAAAAGGTTGCTTCTCACGAGGGGAATGGGAATGAGAAGTAGCTGTTTTGTGCCAAGGATTGACATGATGGTATAAAGAAATCTAAAGTTATTTTTTATCTCGTCGACATATCAACCTGTAATAATCAATTTAGAGCGTGTACAGTAAACTAAGTCACGTCATTTATAAAAAAGAAGGCATTCATATTCATTTATCCATACTTACACATAAAAAATACGCATCTGTTGTCTCTTTTAATCAATACATGGGAGTATATATTACATAAACTGGTGAAAAATTATATAAGTAATATACAACAGACCTTAAATTTCTTGCACAATTATGAAAATTAAAACTCATTTAATATATTTTTTCTGTTCAAAATATAAGTATTTTCTTTCAATTAGTTTTGATTTTAAATATGGGTAATTTAGTATACATAAATTTTTTTTATTTTATCTCTTATATTTATTAACCTAAATTTTTGTGTAGATACATATTTTAGTCATCATAAAATATATTGATATTTAAAATTAAGAGTAAAAAGTAACATATTTTTATGGGAACAAAAAACTTATTAATATATGATTTTTAAAAAAAAAAACTACTTATATTTTGGAGGCAGCGCTTATTAGCCATGAATAGTGCGTCCTTAATTTAAGAGACCACGTGGCGTGGCCCTTTGAGAGTCCAGCTTCGGTGCTCATCGTGGAAAAACATCTGGGCCATCCAGATTTTTAATCTGGATGGTCCAAATTTTTTTAATTTTAATTTTAATTTTAATTTTATAAAAATATTTTTAGATTTTTTAATTTTAATTTTATAAAAATAAAAATAATAATTTTTTGATAAATATATTCATTATCAATTTAAATAGTATTAATTCAATTTGAGACTCTACATGATTTAATTTAATATTATAATTTTTATAAACTGAATATCTACATGTATTCTAAACAAGAAAGATTTAATATTAAATTTTTTTAATAAGTTTTATTTTAATAAATATAAAATAAAAATAAAAACTTTAAATCTAGGCCTTGCAAATAAAAATTTAGTGTTGAATTTAAACTGTTCAGAGTACATCCAGATAGTTAATTTATGAAAATTATAACATTAAGTTGAACCATCCAAATTTAATTAGTACTGTCCAGATTGATTATGAATATATGCAGATTGATAATAAATATATTTATCAAAAAAATTTATAAATTTTATTTTTATAAAATTAAAATTAAAATTAAAATTAAAAAAATCTGGACCGTTCAAATTAAAATTTGAATGGCCCAGATACTTTTCCACGATGAGCACCGCGGCGAAACCGGACTCGGCCCTTTGACGGCAATTTCCTTGACATTTTCATGCAACCCCACCAACCAAAACGCGGTAGTCAAATCAAGTGAGTTGGTGGTGACAAGTATACATTAGTTCTCCCTTGTTTTCAATGAAGCATATTGGATCCATATATTATATATACATATATATTGGCCACATATATCGGACCGATATTGAACAAATAACTGTTCCTACCAATCCGTTGTATTTATTTGTCATTTTAAATATCTATTTACTTTAATTGTGAAGTTATTGTAATGACTGAGATAGCTGATAAAATGAATATATATGAGCATCATAGGGAGTTTAAAAAAGATCACGACATGTTAGTATCTATAATTATTCCCTTAATATACATGTTCTAAAACCTTAAATCACTGATAAAAACAAACGAGGGAAGGCATAATTCTGAATCGTCACGATGTGAGATAATTTATGTACTTATTTTTATATATTTAATATGCTCTTATGTAATAAAATCAAAACAAATAGATTTTAAAGTATCAATAATATTAATAAAAAAAATTATAATAATTTAAATAATCTTTAAAAATCCACACGCCTTCAATTAATACAAAATTAATATCTTGATGAGTATATAAAATTAAGAGACATAATTTTTTTTCTTTATTTATTTCTGATCAATCATTTTATTTTCTATTGTGCATTTTTTTTATATGACTATCTGATTGTATTATATATGAGTATTGTTCAATTTGATTGGAGAAAGCTCTCTTAAAAATATTTTTTACATTCACGCAAACTCCAGCATGATATATTCTATTAACACAAATACATAATTGAAATATAAAGACCATGTTCAAAATCAGTATCGGAAACAGGAAGTCGACCAGGACAATTTTTTTGCCCTTGAAGGGAATCTTCACACGGCTGTCGAGCGTGCGTGCGTAATCAATCGAAAATATTTTTTTTGGATGAAAGTAATCAGTCTAAATATTACTATAAAAGCATCATATGCATATGCAGTAATTAAATTGAAAAAACATAAATGAGTTATCGTTAATTATGAGGAAATGGACGTGGTGGTGATAGTGGGAGAAATTTAGTTTAAAATATGGGTGGGCGAGCTTTAATTATATAATACATAATAGAAATCTTTGATAGGCATGATGTTGGCACGTCAAGTGAGGAAGTGTTGATACGTTGGCACCAACCGCTGATAAAGATACTATGAATTCGTCCAAATGCATCACTCACCTACCCCTCCCTTGCTGCTCAACCACTCGTTTCAACCATTCGTTTCCATCAAAAACAACAAACACACCAGAAAAAGAGTGCATGCACTGTTCCAATGTCTCATCAGCCCAAAGGCCAAACCCTGTTAAACATGGCATGTATTTAATATCTGCCGTATATCGAGACTTGATATTGTTAGGCAACGCTTGATATCGTCTCACACTGCAGACTATTATCGTTTCAAATCTTAATTTATATCACTCGTGCTGTGTTTGGCATATGATGAAAGGCAAGAGTGAAGAGAAGAGGATGAAAGAAAGCGAGATGGATTTTGTTTGGTGCAGTGAAAAATGAAAGTGAGCAGAAGCCAGAGGAAGATGGAAGAAAGTAACGTTGTGTCAGGTTGTTCGTTTAATAAAAATATGGTAACAAAAATTAAGCTTGTAAGAAGAGAAATATAAGCGATGACACCAATATTAGGAGTGCAGGTGTCCACCTGTCCTAAAATGGAGTTCATCCAACAGTACGCTTTCTTCTTGAAGAATTAACCAATTCATCCTTATAATTTTAACTTAATTATAATTCAATCTTTAAATTTTAATTAGTTGTAATTCAGCCCTTATAATTTTAATATGATTGTAATTGAGTTCTTGAATTTTTAATCTTACAATTCAATTCTTATAATTGTAATTATTTAAATTTAAAAAATAAATTATGAAGATTAAATTATGTTAAAATTTATAAGAAATATTTTAAATTAATGAACCCTTTAAATTTTTATAGAGATTATAAATTTTAAAATATTTTTAATCTTTATAATTTAATTTTTTTAATATAAGAATCAATATTTCAAATGGTTTAAATTATAAGAACTGAGTCACAAAATTAAAATTTAAAAACTGAATTATAATTGAGTTAAGATTATAGAGATGGAGTTAAAATGAGTCAAAACTTAAAAATTAAGTTATAATTAAATAAAAAATTACAAGTATCAAATGTCTCTTTTTAAAGAGATGAATGGAGAACAGTGTTGACGTCATGAATCATACCCAATGGGTCTGATGTTTGAACAAGAAATGGGCAGCATTCCGGGAGCTGGGCTGTTCGAATTCAATATGGGCTCGAAGAGAAGGCCCGTATCGTTGACCATGTTTTTCTTCATCGATAGAGAAAGTAATAGTTCATGTTTAAATTTAATTTCTCAGTTTTATCTGGAGATGATCCATGTCATGTGAAAATGTTGGGTGGTTTATTTTCATAAGAAGTAATTTTACATATATGTTTAAAAATAAGTATTGTAAAGTAACTTGTAACTATAATAAATTCAACTTAATCGTCATGAAATTATCAGATAAAAATTCCATACGGTGACAGACTGAGGGCAATGAAATTATGGTGGACAGATAGAAATTGGAAGGACCAAGTTAAGGCAGAGCACACTTGGAAAGGACAAGACAAGAAGCCTCACATCCATTTGTCCAATGGACCACTTGAATCAATTGGATCTCTACACACTGGGCCATTACTACACGACAACATATTATCTGTTCATTTTATTCTTCGGCCGTTTCAAAAATATCTCAAGGGCAAAATAGTAAATACGGCAACCTCATCCATCCATCCCCGGATAAATATCCTCTCGTCGCGCAAGCGGCTACATTCCATCGAACAGGTTTATATACGCCTCTCGCCGCTGGGAAGCCCTCTTAATCTTTGAAAGCCTTATCTAGTTGTAGCGCCGAAACCATGTCTACCTCTGCCGCTTCCTTGGCCCTTCCCACCTTCACTTCCAGATTCCGGCCACGATGCTTTGCCAGACAAGCCTTGCTCTCTTCCCATTCCTCTTCTCTCCGACTAAAATCCAGGCCCTTTTCATTGTCTGCCTCTTTTCTTCGATTCCACACGCCTTCACCCTCTCGTTTTATCCCCAGTGTTGCTCTTTCTTCTGAGTTCGAACAAGAAGAGATTGTGACTGATGAAGACGAGCCTAGCTACTCCCCCGACCTCAAACTCTTCGTCGGTAATCTTCCCTTCAGCGTTGACAGTGCCCAGCTGGCTGAATTGTTCGAGAGCGCTGGAACTGTCGAGATGGTTGAGGTGTATTTTCTCTTCAATTTTTAATTTTATTGCAATCGATTATGCCGAAATTGGAAAAAATGTTTTGTTCTTGCTGATATGATTTCTTAGATCGCAAGATTAGATACCGTTCTCTTTATGCTCTAAACTTGTTTCGTCTTATGGTAGGTAATTTATGATAAAATGACCGGAAGAAGCAGGGGATTCGGTTTTGTGACCATGTCTACCTCTGAGGAAGTTGAAGCAGCTGCTCAACAATTCAATGGCTATGTGAGTAGTAACATCCTGAGTGTTACTGTGGTTTGGTGGTCATGCTCCATTTTTTTTAAAAAAAATCAGGACACAATTTTTTCTGACTTGATAGTTGGTTTCAGAGCATTTCTTATTTGGTTAAGATTGCCACATGCCTTCACCAAATTTTAGAAGTATTGATTGTTTAAATTGAAATCGGATGCCGAGTTTGTTGTTTGTTCTTATACATCCTGTCTTTGAGCTCTTTTTTTTTTAATTCACATTTGGTGTAATATATGCTGGTAATTTTTAGGAACTTGATGGACGGGCGTTGAGAGTAAATTTTGGACCTCCTCCCCGGAAGGAGAATGCCCCTTTCAGAGGTTCAAGAGGCGGTTATGCTTCAGATACTGGAAACCGCGTTCATGTTGGTAATCTTGCATGGGGTGTTGATAACTTGGCGCTTGAGACTCTGTTTGCTGAGCAGGGAAAGGTTTTGGAAGCAAAGGTAATTTATGACAGAGAAAGTGGAAGGTCAAGAGGATTTGGATTTGTGACTTACGGCAGTGCTGAAGAGGTTAACGGTGCTATTGAGTCCTTAAACGGTGTGGTAAGATAAGAATGCCAAACCTTTCTCCTCAATAAGTGCACATTTGAAAATTTTGTGGTTTGCTTTTTCTGCCACTGTCTGGTAGATGTGATAGACATTTAAGATGATACTAAGCAGCAGCATTTTTCAATGAGCGATATGATATGTTCTTCTCCATTAAAATCTGATGTTGGTATGTGAACAAAATTCTATATTCATCGTGTAAATTGTGAAACTATCTGCTTGCTACACAAAGAGGAGTTAATTATGGGATAAATGCATCTTTTAGAGGTGGGACTTATTCAAACATTTGACGTTAGATCTGGGTTTAGTCCCCTGATTCTTAGGACTGCACGGTTGCTTGGGCTGACCTACACACATAAATATGTGGTGTTTAGATACACTTTCTGAAATGTCGTGGAAATGAAGTCATGATTGTATCCCATTTAACGTGAATGCACGTTATGCATGTTTTAACTTATGAATGCTGAAAGTTGTGAAATACTATGTTTTCACTCAGGTTGAGGCCTCATATATTTATAGTGTCCACCCTCAATGACATTATTTTTTGACCGTGCATTCAACCTCCAGAATCTCATTTTAATATGGTTGTTGCAGGACTTGAATGGCAGAGCTATTCGAGTGTCCTTAGCAGATGCTAAGCCAAGGCGTCAATTTTGAATATTTGACCTCTAATAAGTAGCTTGTGAAGCAATCGCTCCATCTGGGCGTGTTGAATGTGCGCCGTTCATTCTAATTCAGTGATGCCTTGGAAGATTGAATTGTGGAGCTTTCTGCCATTCTTCCTCTTCAATCTATACTATGGGCTCTTGGTGTCTGCTTAAAACTGCTCCCGCTTGTTGGGAGATTTACGTGGACGTGGGCGCACTTTATTGGTGTTTTCACGCGGTTTCTAAAAGCACTACCTCATTATAGCTTGGTAGCAGTATATGTCATCTTGATATGCTCATTTATTGCCTGAGGATTTGATTAGTGTGTTTATTGAAGTTGGAATGTATTCACCAAATATAGCCCATTTTGCTTATGCACGTAGATGAGTTCTGTGGTATCTTAACTACCAGTGATATTGTAGAAGGATTTTATTACTGCAGAGTCGCAAGGAGAATTATTTACTTCTGTATTTGTAAATCGATTTTCTTGGTTGTGGGAGAGCAGGTACGGGTAACTTGTCTATTTACCTTGTGATGACTATACAAGTCGAGTTTTTTTTTTTTTTTTTTTTTTTGTGGGGGGGTGGGGTTTGTGGGAATTGCGATTAATGGCTTCATGACTACTACCATATTTGGGTCGTTATAAGCTACATGTGAGCGTCATTGTAAGTTTGGATTTGAGAGAATGTGGTATGACTAGGCGACCTAGTCTTTTCGGAACTGATCTTGGCCGCCTTGCATTAATCTTGTTGGGGGTAATTGCGTCTAATTATTTTGTTTGTTTCTAAATGGGAGGCATTATTGAGATTAAATCCATTTATTTGGAGGGCAATCAATTCGGTCTGCAACCAACCGCTATTCCATCTCCACATTCATAATCTGTCCGTATCCCGTCTGTAATGAGGTTGGTTAGGCTAGGTTTGCGTGGTGTGGTTCAATGCCACTTGTGCAACTTGCATTCCAAACTACTACTTTTATCACCCCATGTTGCTTCATTCATCGTTTTCATCCATTTTTCTTCTAGGTCCTCTTGTGTCTACATCATCATGTCTTTGCCATGTTGATTGCGGTCGTGTCCCTTTAACTCTCAAAATTAATTGAAGTTTATTTTAAGGTAATATAGAGTCAATCTTAAGTTTTTTCTCAAGAAAGAGGTTTTAACTCTAAGTCAAGTAAACTAGGTGAATAGATTAATCATTAATTGAAGTTTATTAGTTAATTATCCAATGAAATTAAGTGCAAACTAAACCTGAGAGTGCGGTGGTTGGTTTTCTTATTAAAGTAGAAACCTTGGGATGTTGTTAATGGAAGAATCCTAATCCTTAATTGATTATGACAGCTCACCCAACTTTTTTTCTTTCGCTAAAAAAGTATTTATTTAAGACAACTATTTTAAGTAACTTAGTTTAATTAATTCAATTCCCTAAATGCTATTACAAGCCCTATATGTTGTCTCATTGGCTTAGCTCAAGAATTAATCAAGTGTCTAATTAAATTTTACCTCCCAACAACCATGGCTCATGAGTAACTCAAGTACAAAACTATATAACTCTAGCATTTAATCAAACACTCACCAAACATAACATCTGTAAGGTTAATGCAAGACTAAAAATCACATTGACATAATATTACTCCAAGTGGCCGAAATTCTAAAAACTAAGGAGAATGAAAATTAATTCAACAATCATGTTCCAATATAATCAATTATCACAAACTATAAAACTAAAATCAAGTTGAACTATAATAAATCATAGTTATAACATTTTAATGAAATTGAAACAAAATAAAGAAATAGTTGAACTTGGCCAAGTAAAGACTTTAAAACTCTTCTTCCATCAAGTCTTCCCTAGGATTCCTTGAAAAATTTAGTTAGAAAACATCAAGAATCTCTTGCTTTCTCCATGAACACATGCTGGCAGTGGAAGATGATCTATGCTTCTTGATGATTTGAGCTTCAAATCTCCTTCTAGACGATTGGGATAGGTTCAGCCATGAGAGGAGAAGAGAATGATGAAAGAATTGAGTGAATTTGATGGTGAAAAGTCGAAGAGAATGGTGCTGGACGTGCTGTGTGTGTAGAGAGAAGAAATTAAAAAAATGAAGAATTCTAAGAACTAAAGAGAGAAAATGTGGAAAATGAAATGAATGGTTTATTTATCTGAAATAAGGGGCTCTTGGACATGTAATTAGAGTTTGCCATCAGTTGAAGCTAATTAAAATAATAGAAAAAGAAATTAAAAAGAAAATAGGAACCTTGTCACACTTGCAGGGTGGCATTTTCTTATTGGCTTGTAAATGATTCTCATGTGTGTGTAATTTTTCATGTGTCATCCATATTATTTAAGCTGATTTAATCCACTAAATAAGGCAGAAAAATGTCCAAGCATCAGCCCTTTAATCTCAAAGAGTGTTGACTTTACTTGCTCAATTGATACACTAGTCACATGTCACCTATATCACATAAATCACATAATTCAATTAAATAACATGTGACATAATAAAATTTAATTAACATCTAGAATTAAATTCAAAATTAGAAGAGATAATTTATTAAAATAACTATGTTCCAAAATGTAGAAAATTATATAAAAAATTTTATACAAAGACAAATAAAAAATTAGGTCAAACTAAAACATTTAAAAAGTGTTAACTTTTTATTTAATTATTTTCAAACTAAAATAAAATTTAAAAATATAATTTAACCACTCATCAATTAAACATAAAATACATTTTGTCAATTTTTCTTGTACATTTTTTTAAAAAATTATTTTTTGAATCAAAATATTCCTAATGCACTAAATCTAGACACTTAGATAATTTTTCAAATCTAATGCAATGAGTGTACACTTTGGCTAATAAAACCTTAATAAATGGTTCTAATTGACTTAAATAAGTATGTAACAAATGTGTTTTATCACATGTTCACTTTAGCCACTTTCTCTGGACAGGGCCAACTTGTGCTCCTCAACTACTTAATGATGCCATACTTCCAGCAAAATGTGTATATGCATTTGCTATATCTCATCATCCAAATAGGTCTTCTTCTTCTTCTTCTTTTTTTTATGGCCATGAAAAATCAAATTTGATGTGTGATAATTGACCGTTAATAATTCCTTCCTTCACATTTCATCCACACATAAATCGAAATGAATAGAGCTTTACATTCTTTGTGCAGTCTCGTTCTTTTCCCATGAATACGAGAGAGACTGTAAACAAAGGCGTGAGATATATAGGGTAGAATCCATAGTTGTGACCACAAGTAATGCGATCACGTGGATCTCTCCACACAAGTAATACTCACCAATTAACGTATGTCCAGACTTAAGGCGATTAATTACTTTTAGTGACATGTTATCACGTTTCTCTCAACCTTTTTATCATCTTCGTTATTTATTTTTTAAACGTTTATTTGGAATTTTTAACATACTTTCATCAATGTCTTTTACAGTGGTATTCTTCGGCTAGTCAAATGCGCTAATTTTCAGTGATACGACGTAGCTCATTTCTGTACCTTAAAGTGCTTGGATGGTAAATGCAAATTAAACGAAACAACTGGATAACAGGTAACTTTGTGGCTCAACTAGCCTTGGCAGCTTGGCTCTCCTGTACTGACCGTGAAGTCCAAGCGGCGACTTTGAATCCTTCCCTAAGCTTTTAAAACTCACAAGTTTTACCTGCACTTTAATGGAAAACCCCGAAAGCGATAATTGTACTTGTAAATATATAGATTCGTCCTACTTTCTGCTCACATGATTTCTGGGGAATTCACTGAGAAGAAATTGACTTCATTTTTGTGTGGTCCATAGTTCTTCAATCACATCTTTTCCTGGTTGTAGATAGTAGATACACTTGTATATATGGGCTTCCAATACGTCTTCTTCCCGGTAAAGAATCACAGGTTGAAGCAGAGCTCTATGGCTTCAGGTGAACCAAGAACTGTTAGGTTTGCCAGTTCTTCTCTATCATCCTACTGGCTACTAATCTAATACCTTCTGATTTAGCTGTGATGCTGAAATTCCAAGTTAATGTATGTCTTCAGGTTTCATGATGATCTCGAGACTGAGATGAAAGAAAGCAAAGAAAGTCCCGTGTCCATGCCGACCTATAAGATGAATGGCAAACAGATGGACGTATGGAAGGAAAGGGAACTTTCGAGGGTCTTCTCTGAGGATTATGATTCCTCAGACAAGTTGATATTGGACCCCAGGGGACCAAGAGTGAACAGATGGAACAAAATCTTCTTAGTGGCATGTCTGGTTTCCTTATTTGTGGATCCCTTGTTCTTTTACTTGCCAGTGGCCAAGAAAGACAAGTGCATTGATTTATCCCTCAGCCTCGAAGTGTTTCTCACCGTAGTTCGCTCCATGGTTGATGCATTTTACATATTTCAGATTTATGTTCGCTTTCAAACAGCTTACGTTGCTCCTTCCTCTCGTGTATTTGGTAGAGGAGAGCTCATCATAGACCCTTCCAAGATATCATCCAAGTACCTTCAAAGAGATTTCTGGCTTGATGTTTTGGCTGCCCAACCTCTTCCTCAGGTATGTTAATCTTAAAAGAATAAATATGTAACATAAATTCCTATGATATGTGTCACTTGTAAAGTTGCAATATTTTTTTACTCATCGGAACACTTATAAAGAGCATATACATATACGTGTAGGCGTTAATATGGCTTGTAATTCCAAATCTCAAGTGTTCACAAATGATTACTTCAAGGCATATACTGCGCCTCGCTACCATCTTCCAGTACCTTTTAAGGTTATGTCTCATCTTCCCTCTATCATCGCAAATCGTCAAGGCGAATGGGGTAATGATGGAAAAAGCTTGGGCTGGGGCAGCGTATAATCTCATGCTGTATATGCTAGCAAGTCATGTAAGTAACTGCAACCAATCATTATCTGCATTAGAATTTTTGACGGCTTTGTAACAAAACTAATTTTGTTTTAGAATAGGTTTTAGGGTCGTGCTGGTACCTCCTATCAATTGAAAGGCAGGAGGAGTGCTGGAAAAAAGTTTGTTCTCTTCAACAACCGCACTGCCAGTATTATTATCTGGAGTGTGGAAGCGTAGGCGTTCCGCAGAGGGTAGCTTGGTTCAGAACAAGCAATGTCTCGGGTCTATGTGATCCCAGTAGTAATTTCTTTCAATTTGGCATTTTTGCTGACGCGCTGACTTCGGGAATCACGGGCTCCGAGTTCTTCATCAAGTACTTTTACTGTCTTTGGTGGGGGCTGAGGAATCTCAGGTAACTCCAGCGGTGGTATCTGATGCTGTATACATATCAATGAGAGAGAGTGTGATCAATTCAATGAGCATATGTCAGAGACACGATCGTATTCATTACTAGATTAGAAAGTAACCGTTCCACGATATGTTTTGCAGCTCTCTGGGACAGAACCTCTTAACAAGCGCTGATATTGCTGAGATTAATTTTGCTGTGATCATTGCAATTCTTGGCCTGGTACTTTTCGCCCA